TTCTACAAAATCTTACTAAAAGGGTAATTGAATACAGTTCATTTAAGTAAAAATATTCCTGAAGATTGTCAAGATATATTTCAATATAACATCTATATTTTATATTCATATTGCGATATGATACGATACTATATGTCCGTGTATCGCGACATACCGGTTTCCCTGTAAATAACTAAAGCTAATTAGAAGCATTCCGTCAGAGGAATCACACCTAATAATTACGACATATCAACAGGCGGAGCCGTCAACAGTCACCGCAAGATAGCGCTCCATAGGTACTTATGTAACCATGGTATCGACCCTGGAACGCTAACCTCCCACAGGGGCCGGTTATGTTTGTGGTAATTTTCTGGTAATGGTTATGTTAATGAGTGCACATTGAAGGATTGGTAAATTATAAGTACATTATAGAGTTTGTCATAACTTGTTGGTATCTGGCCAAACACAGTATCGCCCCAATAAGGTTGTTATCACCCTTGTAAGAGGTGGCCGTGATTCGACGTACATTTGTACGGTGACTTCCGGTGACTTGTCAATGGCGCATGGAGCAAATGGTTGGAGCGAATAAAAAGTAACAATAATTATAAAAAAAAATCCTTGTTAAACACATAATTTGCAATTTTAACTAAATAATTACATTTCCACTACAAGTTTCTCAATAAGCATTACCAGAAGTGACGTGAGACAACCACTTGAAGTAAACATTAAGTTACGTGAGACAACCACTAGAAGTAAACATTACATGACGTGAGACAACCACTAGAAGTAAACATTAAGTGACGTGAGACAACCACTAGAAACAAACATTACATGACGTGAGACAACCACTAGAAGTAAACATTACGTGACGTGAGACACGACAAGAAGTAAACATTAAGTGACGTGAAACAACGACTAGAAGTAAACATTAAGTGACGTGAGACAACCACTAAAAGTAAACATTAAGTGACGTGAGACAACCACTAGAAGTAAACATTACATGACGTGAGACAACGACTCGAAGTAAACATTACATGACGTGAGACAACTACTAGAAGTAAACATTAAGTGACGTGAGACAACCACTAAAAGTAAACATTAAGTGACGTGAGACAACAACTAGAAGTAAACATTAAGTGACGTGAGACAACGCCTAGAAGTAAACATTACGTGACGTGAGACAACGACTAGAAGTAAACATTACATGACGTGAGACAACCACTAGTAGCAAACATTACATGACGTGAGACAACGACTCGAAGTAAACATTACATGACGTGAGACAACGACTAGAAGTAAACATTAAGTGACGTGAGACAACCACTAGAAGTAAACAGTACATGACGTGAGACAACCACTATAGAAGCAAACATTACATGACGTGAGACAACGACTGGAAGTAAACATTACGTGACGTGAGACAACGACTAGAAGCAAACATTAAATGACGTGAGACAACCACTAGAAGTAAACATTAAGTGACGTGAGACAACGACTAGAAGTAAACGTTAAGTGACGTGAGACAACGACTAGAAGTAAACATTAATTTACGTGAGACAACCACTAGAAGCAAACATTAAGTGATGGTAGGCTGTTCTAGGATTATCGTTTGCACTGACGACACAAACTTCACTATCGAAAATATTAGGGAATAGCGATAGTTAGGTAAATAATTACTACACATTTAGAATGTAAATATAATGATCGAACGGTGTGAACGGAAATCGGTTAGATACATATTCCATGAAGCCCGCTATTTCCTTCCCATAAACAAGTTTGTTTCGCGTGATGTTTGTAACAACCCAATAATTTTAATGTCTCTCTGCGATAAAAGTCAACATATGGAAGATATCTAAATAAAACGGATTGATAAAGAGTATCCGAGAGGGATTGTTCTCAAACATAATCAACGGATTCACAGTGTGTAGATTATAGTTGAGAATAAAATTACAGTATTAGATATTACCTTATGTTCTTCCCGTGAACAAAAACAAGTTCTCTTTCTTTGTATCAATCGCATAATTTGATGCATCCGATCGGGGGAGGGGGAATGGTGTCGTAATACAAGAGTGACGTTACATAGTGTTACATCACGCTTAGTCCGAATTATTCTGACGTTTTAGCAACTTTTTTCGTATCGGTCTGTCGTCGATTAACATGGATCGAAATATCTATTCTTTATGCACAAGATGAACATACATAACCTGCCTCAAACAACCAATACAATCACTAAAAACATATTTTTTCAAACTTACTCTGTTTTACTCTCGTTTTTTGATAGCCCCGCCTTCTAATGCCACGTGACAAAAATCTCGCCGGCCCACGTCATAACGTCGGGAAATACATTCGGTAACGCGAGATCTCGTCAAGTCATGCGACATTGCTCATGGCCTAATTTCCATTAAAAACATGGGTTGGTATAGAAAACGTTGGAAAATACTTTTCGTAATGATCTTTGAAATATGTTTTTGATACCACCTAGTGCATAAAGAATAGATCTTTCGATCCATGTGCGACATGTGTGTGAAAGTGACGATTTGTTTCTAAAATAACAGTTTGAAGTGCGCTCCGGGCGCGGGTCGCATATTTCCCGCATATTATAGAGGGCCGGAGTTCTGACGTTAATCGCTTACAAACCGATATGAAAAAAGTCGATAAAACGTCAGAATAATTCGGACTACATCACGCTGTATAATGCTCACCTTGTTTGATTTTTAAAAAATCTGGTTATATACCATGTTACTTTATATACAGTGTGTTTGATGCTATAACTAAACAAATATCGTATTCGTGCACGTGGTTTGGATTACTTATCCATGTCAAATGCAAAACAAAACAAAAGCCACAACAATAACAAAACAAAACGACAATTGTTTTTAGAAATTGATCATTGCGCGATTGAGGAACAATGAGAAAGTCAATAATAGTCATTTTCATACCAAACCTTCTTGGTTCGTCTGGACACTTGAAAATTACGGAACTTTTAACCGGAAATTTCCCTTTTATGTTAACCAGATCACTGTTAGCAAGGACAGGCTCGTTTAATAGTAATGGGACATTTTATGGTTCGTGTCCTCTTCTGTGTGTCGACCGTCTGTAGGTATTGAACAAGGGAGGGAAGGAGGAAGGAAGAGAGGAAAAATGAAAGAAAGGGAGGGAGGAGGAGGAATGAAAGAAAGAAGGGATGGTGGGAAGAAGGAAAGAAAGAAAGGGAGGGAGGGAGGAAGGAAGAGAGGAAAGGAAGGAAGGAAGGAAGGAAGGAAGGAAAGAAGGGATGGTGGGAAGAAAGAAAGAAAGAAAGGGATGGAAGGAGGGAGAAAGAGAGAGAAAGAAGGAAGGAAAGAAAAAAGGGATGGTGGGAAGAAAGAAAGAAAGAGAGGGAGTGAGGAAGGAAGAGAGAGGAAGGAAGGAAAGAAAGCAGGGATGTTGGGAAGAAACAAAGAAAGAAAGGGACGGAAGGAGGAAGGAAGAGAGAGGAAGGAAAGAAGGGATGGTTGAAAGAAGGAAAGAAAGAAAGAAAGAAAGAAAGAAAGAAAGAAAGAAAGAAAGAAAGAAAGGAAAATAAGGGATGGAGGGGAGAAAGAAAGAAGGGGGAAGGAAGGAGAGGAAAAGGGGTACATTTGAAATTGAAAAAGATCGTTTTTTAATAACAGATTCTGTGAAATATTTCTAACCCCAGTTCGACTGCATCTTAAAAAATAATCACAATTTCTGCTCTGGGAACTCGACAGTTGGGAAGGTTTCTTAGTGCTGTTTTATATCCGTATCGAAATCTTTTCAGTAATATTAACATGCAGACACAGTGGTACTGTATCTTACTGCTGTGGGAAGGAAAATGTTCGATGGAGAATTGACGTTGATGTAACTGTTATCATTCGGGTTATTGTATAGAGATGACGGGCCTTTATATACTGAGAGAGGGGTTAGGCTATGTAGTATGGAGCTGGTAGGACGTGGAGGAATTATTTATCTTTGATGTATGGATAAAAATGAATAACTAAACAATGTGACAGTATCATTTACATATAGAATTATTAACAATCCAATTATCCACACCAATAAATGAACGACACTGGGTGAATATATCGCCATGGGCAATCTGTTTTGAAATCGTTAGAGTAAATTGAAGTACATGTTTTCATTTCCGTGGCTTGTGAGGTTCCGCCTGTTATATATCAGTTAAACATCAAAGGTCAAGGGTCTGCGATTGGTTCCGTTGACATCAAGATGTTTGCCGATTATCATCTACAGGCAAATATTACACCACAAAGGACCTGTGCATGAACACTGCAATCTAGGCAACCCAGACGAGCTTACAAACACGCGCTTTTCTAATTATAACCCCGTGTGCAGAGAATCCGTTCTAACACATACGGCACGATAGCGTCTGCCCTACTGTCGGAGGTTCTTACTGTATATGGGCAACTGCTCTTTCAGCTTCCCAGTAATATGTATAGAGAACATACGCACGTGGTCCAAACACGATGAACGAACAACTCATTGGTTCTCAATAAAGGCCAAACAAAACAAGTATCTGTTTAAAAAAAAGGCACTAACTCCCACGCAAAATGATGCAAATAACAAATGTAGATAATTTCTTTTCTGAACGTATTTGAGGATACCAAACAACTTTTTGCAAACATTTTCCGAGATACTTGACAAACTGAGTGTTATATTTCGTGTGAAGAAGAAACCGGGTCTCAGAATCCCATACATATCACACCCTAAATATATCAATATGTTAAATATCAATAACCCAATTAGATATTAGCAATTCAATGACCAAATCTATACTTGTAATCATACTGCCCACAGTTGGCGCCAAACGGCGCGCAGCATGGGCAGCTCGCGCCAGTCAACGGTCAAATTTCGCCACGCTTTGCAACCGAATACATCACACAGCGTGGCCTGTGGAGAGCGCTTTGTAGTGTTTGTACTGCGATATCGTACCCCTTGCCGATAGGGGGAGCAGGCCCTTCTATGGTACAAGCGTTGTGACGTCACAGCCTGGGAGGCATGCATGATAAATTGAGGACCAGTGTGTTTCACTTTCGTATCGCTCGTGTTCAAGCCCGGTCGTGAGTCAATAGCTGTGTGGGTCGTTCGGCCATATATTCTTTAGTAGTTGGATATCACCAGAGCAGGGTAAGTCTTATCTTCGTATATTGATCTACATTTCCATTGAACCCAAAATATACTTTATTTTCTATTTTATTTCCATCCCTTCCCAACAACTAAATACTTCTCCCAACACGTCTTCGTAACCTTGAAAATAACCCCGAGGATATGTGTGATGCTGTATGACCTTTGAACTTATCACTACTTTATAAACAATTTTCTATTTGATTTTATTTGATAGGTTTTGTCCGCGATCATTTCTGTATCATTCACATACATTCCCCCTATACTCGCCTACACTAGGAATTCTTGTCTATAATGTACAATGCTTGTTACACCCATTGTAACCAGTTTATTTTAAGACATGTTTTGGTGGTATACTCAACATATAACGCGGATTATCCAACTCTAATATCATACATAATAATCCTATTTATTGATTCATGTAAAGGGTTCATCGTATATATCGAATGGAGCTTGTACATATTGCCATGTAAGATCAAGTACATGATGTTATAAGTATTCGTTTGTTTCCCCGTCGTTGGCCTCTTTCCCAAAACACACCTGATACGGATGCTTGGAATTTCATCATTTTGCAGTAACATGGAGGAATAAACTCCTGTTTCTTACAGAAATTCCACAGATAAGACTGGAGGTCTGGCTGCCTCCCAATATCCGTAATCCCGACCCAGCATGACCTCCTTACCAAACTCATAACTACCCCGGTACCGACAACCTTCAAAGCAGTCACAAACATCTCCCTTCTCTCCAACAGTGTTCCTGAACAGGCGGCAGGGCTCTATAACACACAATACTTGTACAAAAATAATATCCAGTGAGTTTTGTTTTAATTTCAATTGTTGTGAATTCAGCCTTCTCGTATATAGATGTAATGATGTAGACCATTAAGACTTAAGTGTGACGTATACAGTTAAGTGATGAGTCATGCTATTTAAAGATATGATAGAATATGTACAACAGGGGGTATACCGTAACCAGAAAAACACACCCATTAATATAATAAATATATCTATTATCTCCCTTATATACTATACCTGTAACTGGTGCCCAATCATGTTGCTATTTTTGAAAAGTATAACCCCTCCACCCTACCCCGTACCCACCCCAAACCCATTGACCCCAGNCCCCCCTGCCCCCTCCCCCTCCCTAGTTCTCCTCCTGCACAGAAGACAACCGTTGCCATGGTTTATGGGAATGTGCAGTAGTCGAGGTCCGCGTACCTGGAGTTACATGTTACAAACAGTAGTCTATGCTAGCCTCAGCATCTGTATCATCATTAATCTCCTGCATCATCAGCTAGACTGAGATGTGTGAACGATGCCAGAATCTTGCTACTTCTGTTACTGGGAGTATCGCCAAGGTGCCATGGTAACCGTAATTTGATAGCGAGCCAAAATTCTTACTTACCTTTCCTATAATATCGTACGTAGCGATTCAGGCGTAGGTTGTGTGTCGTCTAGTGAGACATTCCGGCCCGACACGCCATATTCCTCAGCATAGTTAGTAGCTTTATCGTAGTGTTCTACGGTTAAAGCGTCATACATCATTAAAATTAGGAAGTCTTCAAAGCACTAGGTAGGAATTTGAAAACAATGTCCTTTTCTCGATGAAAGACTCTTCTTTTCGTAATTAGAGAAAATAAAAAGATATTACATATATAACCCCCAGCAAAACATTATTTATACATTTTCAATGTCATCATTATTAACTAATATATGACTTGAAAAAAGGAAAAATGAATATCAAAATTCATTAATCTTTTTCATAATGTGTATAAATCATCTCGTAAATCAGAGATCTGAGTTACGTCGGCTATCAATTTTATGAGAAGTAGGGGGCGTGTCTTTGGCACAGAGAGGGGCGTGTCTGGACAAAAGAAGGCTTAGTCTTGATTGAGGAGATAATGGGATTTACATAATCGTAATGAAGTAATTAACTACTGGTAGTGTCATCAATACCTCCTAATATCAGAGTACAATAGTGATGGGTGGGGGCCGTCAGGGCAACACACCACCTACTAGCATATATGGGAACACATTGTAGTCGCTTCGCGCCGAGCAATTGATTACACGTGCGTGGGTGACTTCAGCCCCTTCTAGTGTCAATTCCGAACTAATCATAGTTAGTGGAGGGCTTGTAGCGATATCAATCCATCAAAATTGGTCCTACATATTTACGAATGTAACGCTATTATTTGAGCCTCACATGTCAAAATATATATATAACTTAGACAATAGTGAGCAGATTAACGTGATGTGATGGTCCTAATCATAGATCCTTACCGTGTTAATGACGGATACGATGGTCAAAGTTAATTGCTTTTCCTTTTTATTCTCATTTTCGTTGCCTTAAAAACAAAAAAAATAACAGACGAATAATCTTAAAATTTTCATACGATATGCAATATGTATGAAATCATGTTTATTAACGAATTCCTGTACGTCAGTATGATTATGTATAAGTAAGACAGACGTAATTTGATCTGATTATCCCAAGTCCCCTCCCCCCCCCCCCCCCCCCCTAGCGAAGTGTTAGTTAAATGACACACTAATTATATTACCATTACGTATATAACTTCAACATAAAGGAGGTATTAGTTGTAATCAAAGTAAGCGTGTCCAGGCCTCGTAGCGAGTACCCGCTGGGAANCCCCCCCACGTGTCCCCCTCCCCCGTACACTGTACAGGGGGCCGTGTATTGAGGAGCGTGCCATGGTTATATATAGCTATAGGTAACCCGATCCCTCCCCCAGAAATCCAACATCAGCAACCCTCCACACCTCCATCTAGCGTGCCCTCTCTGTGTCTGTCAGTGTTAGCGCAGGATCTAGGGAGTGTGGTTCGTTACATTGAGATCTCCAACAGTAAGTAGTTATCTATAGTATTTATTGATGTAAACCACCCTACTTGTATCTTTACTTTAAATCAGTGACTCTACATAGCTTTATAAAACTTAGTATTAGGTAGTTCAGATCTCTACAGCTTCCAATAGGTCTAAATAGACATACTACTATTAATCCATTACTTATTATTGAATTACTTCAGTTTTAGATACAGTGTATGTCGTCCATACTACTATTAATCCGTTACTTATTATTGAATTACTTCAGTTTTAGATACTGTGTTTGTCGTCCGTTTATATACCCACTCCTGACTATTGTACATCTCACATACTTAGTATACTATATTACCACAGTATAGATAGGCAACAACTTATCGAATAACTTTATTATTATCATCATTGAAGGGGTATACTGTTTGCTCTTATGGAAGTTTCATATATTTACCGCATTCAGCCACACTCCATCTTTGATTACTTTGCCACATCCTGCCCTCCAACATTTGCCACACCCCTACCAAACACTTTGTCACAGCCCTCCTTTTATCACATTTCAACACCCTCCCTCCACCAGCCCCTCCCTCAACTATCCCTTACCATTACTGGCAAAAACATATCCTCGTTCTCCTGAATTTCTTGTGCCATATTATCATCTATAAATGTTCCAAGTTTACAACACTACTAATGCTATAGCTAACCCAGATAGTTGTAACCTGATGCATGTTGTAATTTTATTTTAGCAGCGAACATTCTTGTAATACATAGGTGTATTTTACAGGATAGTTAACATACAATCATATATTTAATTGTAGTTCACGGAATGGTGAACATGCAAGCACATGTTCCTAAAGTTGCTAATCCATTATACAATGCACTGCTAATGGATATGACGTTTTCTTATAATCTGTTCGAATATGTGTTAAATATTTGCTACCTTTGAACATGTTTTATTGTTTCTATTTTTATCTTTTCCAGAGACAAAATGGCAGATGTAAGTAGTTCCCAGAGTTCCCCGCATGTCTATGAGTGTATTCCTACAACAGTGATATTTTCCCTCTCGAGGATTTATACATCATCTTGCGGAATAGTTTAGTGCTAATCTTCCCATCTTGGATACTAATATAGATTTCTGTGGAATTTTAACTGTAACTGACCCAGATCGAGGTCGAAGATTCCTACATGTACATGCAGTATCCTCCAAGCGGAGAGACCTGATGGCTGCCATTTTCCCGAAGAAACCGGATATACTCGAGGCTAATTGGTCATGTGACACGATGTATAGTGCCCGGATTTAGACATGTCTACGATGCTGCCATTTTTCTTTGCTCTTTGATCTCGTAGTCTCTATTTCCTTTTTCTATGGTTTAGATTTATCGATTTTTCGTGCTTACTGGTTATCTTACATAAGCCTGCGGTAATTGAAAATGATTAAGCAAAAGAAAAATAATTAAATTATTTTCTACATTTATACTTCTTGGTCATGGTAACCGAATTGAATTTGTACATGTCCCCGAAGATATGTAAATATATTGATATCCTAAATAATGGTGACGTGAGACATTAACAGCTACATCGTCAGTGCTGTCTGGAAACCTGGAGTACAAATTGGAATATCTTTCAACCATGGGAAACCATATACCGGGTATACTTTTCTGTGTGCTAATATATGACTTTGTACTACAACGGTAAGTCAGATTATACTGATGAGGCTATCACTTACAACATATAGGTCACCGTGACCTAAGCTGACTTACACATTCTCCTATACCAAATATTCCTGTTTCTTTTATGATAAATACTCTGTTTTACTCTCATACATCTACAACACAAACTAACCTAGTATATTATTAATTTACATTTGCGGAACAAAGTTGTTTCTTTTTAATGATTTTACAAAAGAAAACCAAATCTCGGAAAAATGTATGCTAATTAAAAAAAAAAACAGCGGACCATTGTACAAAGTTGGATTATGAACATTTTTATTTATTATAATTAATGTCCAATCCTTTTGTAATTATATTGCAATAAAATATGTTTAAACTCAAACTTATTATACAGATCATATAAACCTAGTACCGGAGGTCATGACCTCTTTGCTAACCTGAATAATCCCACCCTAATCCTGTTCCATGTTTTGTTCATTTATTTATTATGACAGAAAGAAAGGGCACAAAGGGCTACGTCGAATGTGTTTGCAAGGCTTCCACAAAAGCTAATGCAGGAAATGAAAGAGGTATGCAAAATCTATAGACTTCGTTTCGTATCTAGACGTAGCTAATATTTGTACTTTTGTATTTCAGAAAGCAGCAAGCGGAGTTTTAACCAAGTTGCCCCAGAAACAAATTCAGGAGATGAAAGAGGTGTGGTGTACGCATGCGTATGAGCAACCGCACTCACCATGAAATCATATTTTTTAAAATTATTTTCCCCTTCAGTGACGTCAGTCATATTAACACATCATCAACCTGATTTGGCATGTGTGCGTGCGCCGCGTTCCAAACCATCCAACTGATACAAACTAAGGTTTTCATTTTAATGGAGATTTGCCCGCCGACCGAGCATGTTTTTAAATTAATCAATTTTTCTTTGGAGTTTTTATTTTACAGATTTCCCTGCCTCACTGCCCAATGTTGGGGCCCTCACATATCACCGTTTACTCTGTAAGAGTAACCTCCCCTCTGCGTTCTGTCTGCATGCGTTTAAGGTATACAAGTTATCTGCTATGGCCGACTTTATGATACATGGATACATAAGGCTACACACAATGTGTTCTACCTGTTGGAATACACATTGTCTGTGGGACCGAATTGTTTCCAGTGTATATAAAGTACCAAGACGCCTCATCTATCAGATTTCTTTCAAACTGATTTCCTGCCTCCTGCGGAGTGATATCCTTACTGTCCTTGAAACTGCCTCGTTTTAAGGAAATACGGAAACTAGGGATATTCTTGATTTTCTGACTATTGGTCATAAATTAATTTAAAAGAATCCGGTACGATTTGTTTGAATTTACATATTATTGGGAATTGAATAAGAAACCACTTCAATTTGTTAAATCTACTGAAATTCTACAAAATTTGAAGAAATTCTACTGAGAAATGGTGACACAATCCTATTACCTTAAGTTAGGTCGCGTGTTCTCTCAATGGACGTACACTATTATGATCACGTGTCTGGTTTGACGTAACACCAGTTTTGATAACCAATTATTTATTCCTGCGTTTGATGTGCCTTACCTTTAACATTTCACGTGATGCGCCAGTTTACGTATTTCCTTACCCGATTGCGCAGTTGCAGACTACATGGGCTACCCTGTATAAAACGTGTTTATGATATACGATATATGTGTTACATGAGAGATAGTTTATTACTAGTAGTTTCCGGGTAATATTTAGTTGCTACAGACAAATATCTTTCATTAATGCTTTAGATATTTTATCAAGTCATTTTGATTTTCTGATCTGCGATAAATTTTGTTTTATTTTACTCATTTGTAGACTAGTCAAAGTTTAATAGGCGGATTCATTTCTGCTGCTTTCATATTTATTTCATAATTCCAGGCGCTGCATTATTTTATCATTGCTATAAGTTATTGTTTCAACATTAATAGCTTTTTATTTTGGGTTAGATTTATTTTATGTTTCGTTAAGTAATTGTTGTCTTACGCTTCAGTTTACTATCCGTTCAGACTTGTGGGGTGGAACTAACCCTGTATAACACGCTCATGTAAGCAGTGTCAATCCTATATATAAATGGTAGAGGACCCCTGTAGTCTACAAACCACCCGAGATGTGTTTGGATTTAACAATAACCGGATTATCCTATGCGAATATCATACCAATGATTTTAATGTGGTTAGTATGATAATGGTAAGACCTTCCAAACGGTCAGATTAATTTATCACGTGATATGTGTGGTCCACAAATTTGCATGAGATGAAACCACTTACTCTTCCCTACAGAACCCGGTTTATATACAGTATATAACTGCATTATGACATTACAGTTTCAAAAATCAACCGCAGTTGTTTTGCCGAGGCATGCTGTTTTAATTTGCTTGTAACATTGGGACTTTGGTATCCTACCTTTCTACCACAGTCAGGAGGTCTCGATGTCATGCTTTCACAAAAGTTTATTTTTTCTTGTTAAAAAATATAAAAAAAAAAGTAAAAATCATTATCATTCTAAGTATATGTATCTATAGTGAAGAAATTCCTATCATTTACTTGTATCTCGATATATATATATATAGTAGATAATAAATAAATAAGTCCTTGCGAAGGAAAATATAGAATAAAAACAAATTTTTCAGATCGTCCGCTAGGCCTTTCTGCCTTCTAGGGCTTCTTCAGGCGGATTGAAGATATATATATATATATTCTTTTTGTTGAAATAGAAGTCTTTATCGTGAAATTGTATTAAATAACGATGTAGATTTCCTCATTGTGAAAATATGACGTCAGGACCGGGCTGAAACTGACTTAACACCGAGTATTTTAATGCTCGAAAATTCTATTTTTTGAATATAATTTTATTAATCTTTTAACTATTGTTAGTTTTGGTTGTATAAGTATCTCTGATCATAATTTATATCTTACATTTTCATACTTGATATCGCAGTAAAGATAAATGTGATTGTATTATAATAATTATCTAATTTGCCGTAACAGGCGTTTACCATGATAGACCAAAACAGGGATGGCTTTATAGATATCAACGATCTAAAAGAAATGTTTTCATCCCTGGGTAAGTTAAAAGTCGATCTATATCGGCTCAGTGTAGAAGAAAACTAACAAGCAGGAAAGTGTTCGAAAGCATTTTATTTATTATTTATTCAAAATGTCTAAATATAACCTGTTTTTGACCTCACCTTTTCCAAAATTTCCTTTAACTTTAATACTAAAACCAATTCCACCTCAAAACAACCCATAATATCACCAACCCAGCCCATCCGCATCTCCACTGTGTAAGCAAACACAGTGGAACCCCTTTCCTATCCCACACCCTTCTACGCTATCACTGTGTAAGCAGACCCATCCCCGCCAAATCTAAGAAACCACGTTCTCGGCGAGTTCACACCTATCGTTGTCTCTCGTGAAATCTTTGACGTTTCATTCTTGTGTTGTTCTATCAAAACCTTTTTCTTTTCAACCAATCAATTTCTTGCCTGGTGATGTCCAATCACAATCTTGTCTTCTGTCAAACAATCACATTCTTCTCTGGATATAACCAATCATCTTCCGTAAACCATTTAACTTTTTGTCTTGTTTTAACCAATCAGATCCTTGTCTTGTGTTGGCCAATCGACTTCTGTTCCTGTGATTCCAGTCACGTATATCTTTCGTTTGTCTTCCTGACAAAGTTAATGAATGAAACTCATTTCTGTGTGATATCCAACCCCAATTTGTCTATCCTGAATCAGAAGGCCTATCTCTGCATCGTTCCCCATTTGTTGCCATGGGTGGTTTTCTATCCCCTCTCCAGTTTCTTCACTCACTTCATGGATTAACTCCATTGGTTGACTAATTGCCCTCGAGTGGGCGTGTCGATGTGAGTCTCTACATGTTCGTGGTTGTATCTGTCAAACAGGCCTTCTCCATGATTGACGTAGACAGGGATGGTTTTGTCAACAAAGATGATCTCAAAGCTATCTCCGAACAGCTCGGTAAGTTCAATCTCCCAACACATGATAGGCCACACCCACTGCGGACGAGTCCTTCCGGATAATAGCTCCAATGATACTCTTCAAGGTCCCAATCTGCCTAGAAATATATTTCCATCTTTACGAGTTGTGTTTATGTTTAAGCAATCGAACATAAGTCAGGTTTGGTGTGAATTGATCATTTGATAACATTCATTACGACAATGAATCGTGATTTCAACAGAAGCACACTTTCCTGCAATTCTTAGATCGTAGTGTGTAGTTAGTACTAACGCTTTGTAGTCCGCCATTACTGAAACGTACAGTAAGGCAACATGTACAATGGTATTTGTTTCTACGTAAAACTGTCGACGTGTCAACATGTAGTATTTAATAGCAAATTGACCAGTTTTAGTAACGGATAATTGGCATCGTTAAGTTATCAAAAACATGTATGAAATTCTTTATGTAAACAACTATATGCAATGAACTATTTTTTAAAATCTTAAATTGGTAACGAGAAGTGAAGTCAACACGCCAAACTTTATTGACTGCCCACGTGATAATATAAAGTGACAAACAAATCGTTAATGAGAAATAATGGAAACAGTCCCGCTGTACATGTTATATGTTAGATAGTTTAGAATTGATTGCTAACATTTCAGTATGTTTCCATAATTATTATTATTATATATATAGGTAACTTGTGTTCTGTTTCAAAACTTCAGCAATCATCATTGGGATTAAAAGTATTATATCAGGTTAAATATGACAGTGTACTGCATAATATCATATTTTATAATTATTAACTGTTTAGTGTGAACATTTTGTAAATTTATTGTATTTATAACTATCGAATATATGTAGTTGCATGTTCTGTGTTATATTATACTGTAGTAATTTAAAGATATATTTTAGTGTGATATTTCCAATATTGATTGTATGGTTATGGATAATTTCTTCTAAATTCGATTAAAAGTATTTACTAACCCTAACTGCTTCTTTGTGTGTAACTCCATTACTAATACGTCACTTCCGGTTTATAGGCAGGACGCCCGACGACAAAGAATTGACAGCTATGTTGAAGGAGGCTCCCGGTCCATTGAACTTCACCATGTTCTTGTCTATCTTCTCAGACAAGCTCAGCGGTACGTCATCACACATAGACGTTACGTCACGACTATTTGTTTACTTTGTCATAACAAAACATGTCTATACAAAGTTTTTAGTGTCAACAATTTGTTTCAACCTGAACAGTGAACACATTACAACAATGTGAAGAAATATATAATTATGAGAAATAGTTATATTCCTCCTATAAGTATATAATGATTATCGGTTCAAATTGTGTACTGTATAACTAAGTTGTAAATTATATAGCTAAATGTAAAATTCAATTGATAACTAAGGTACAGGATGAATAACAAAGTGGTAAGATAAATAACTTACTGAAAAGCTGATTTATAACTAAAGTATAAATGTGCAACAAAAAACGTAAATTGTATAACTAAAGGCAAGCATTTATAACTAACTTTTAAGATGTATAACTAAGTTGTACAATGTATAAGGAAGTTGTACAATGCATAAGGAGTTGTGCAATGTATAAGGAGTTGTACAATGTATAAGGAAGTTGTACTATGTATAAGGAGGTTGTACTATGTATACGGAGTTGTACAATGTATAAGGAGTTGTACAATGTATAAGGAAGTTGTACAATGTATAAGGAGTTGTACAATGTATAAGACTGTTGTAATTCTGTGTACAGGTACAGACACTGAGGAGACCCTCAGGAACGCATTCGCCATGTTCGACGAGCTCGATACCAAGAAACTCAACATCGAGTAGTACGTATTACAATTTCTTTTCAGACGTTTTTAGATTCTATCTCTAAACACGTTTATTGCGAATTTACATCATCCTTTAATAATTCAGCATTACATATCGAATTAATAGACAAACGCTCTCTCGTGAGGCCATAGTATTCATACTCCTACCTATTTATGGATGTTCTCGTCCTCTTCAAAGATTCCCTGTGTTGGGTCGTAGCAATCTGCATTGACCCTTGACCCATAGTTCGTCTTTACGTACCTAACATCTATATGACGATCGGACTGCCAGCTCAAACATTTTGTCCAATTTTCGAAAGAAACCCCACATTTTTCTTACGATAACTGTTTGTTAGTTAATACTCGATCACCAATGTATATCGTTTTGTGTTTCAGCATTAAGGATTTATTAGAAAACATGGGAGACAACTTCACTAAAGACGAGGTAAGTTCTGTATAATTAAATAATAAACCATCGGTGTAAGTCGAAAACTAAATTATTTCAAAAAGGTATTTAAAATTACTTTAGGAGTTATCTTTATATTCCCGTCTTTTGCGGCATAGACAAAACATAGTGCCAAACCGCATACGATAATGCCACGATACATATGGATCAATAGTAAAAATAATAATGATTTTATTTTGTATTTCTAACAAATAATTGCTTAATCTTTAGGTGGAATTCATAAAGATAGTTAAATCAATAGAATAGTTTTTACATAGCAAAATAACAAATGTAAAGAGATCAATAACTCGGATACCGTAGTCGTACGCTGAACAATAATTATAATATTAAAGGTAGGCATAGAAATTGACTCAACGTAAAGTTAATTCAAAAGTTATATCATCTGAAATCGTTAATTACTGAATATTATTTTCCCTATTATTTCAAATTCTTACAGAATCAACATAAAAAACAATATGCTGTTTCCATTTGGCATTCCTATTTACTATGTATGCCAACTGAGAGTAGTCCAAGGATTTAAGTCGCACTATAAATTAACTTGGGTCTGGTAAATCATTTTAGATAAAACAGGTGATTAGGATTAATTAAGAAGAGCTACTAATTGTGATTGTTTACGTTCCAGATGAGGATGACATTCAAGGAAGCCCCTGTGACAGGAGGAAAATTCGACTATGTAAAATTCACAGCGATGATCAAGGGAAGTGGAGAGGAGGAAGCATAAAATGTACCATCACAATTCCTACATACTAGCACTACACGAGGCGGGCTTTTCATCTCGATAGATCTGCCTCTTCCGGTCTTGATGGTGATGTCATCATGACGTCAGAAGAACGACTCCTTCTTCGCGATTTACGGAAGATTTATTTCTGGAGGGGTGAAAAAGACAACACAAAAATAGACATTTCTATCCTATTTCAAATTCGCAAGGAAAAGGCATCCAATATTGTCTGAAGTTTCTCAAGCCAAAGAGTGCTATCATTCCATTACACTGGTAACGAAGGGCACAGCTGTTATACGTACTCGCTCCCGGGCCTCATTTACAAGGAAGCGCCAGCTGGTGTCGTGGCTATCTCCCGGAACAGTGGAGATAACTGCCGAAGATGACTTTATTGACTTTATAACATCCACTTTTGCTGCGGTAACAACTTGTATGTAGAATAACATCAATGAAAAGGTCATCTTTCAAACCTCCCGATTTCTGTTGGCTTGAGATGCTTCAAAATGTGATCCGATTCTTTATGACATTTCCAAATATAGATTACCCCATTGTTTTTTCTGTCTTATATATACCTATATAACAAATAGTACATTACTTTCATACACTTTATACAAATTGTCATGCCGCGCCTCTGGGAAGGGTGGACAAAGTCATTTAGAGGGATCGCTCGTGTTCCTCGTTTCTTTTTGTGTTATATAATGATTCTGTAAGATAATTGTATACAATTTTGACCTGTCGTCTTTTCATTCATGATAGAACAGAATACAATTTTCAATCACTTGTACGTGGGTATATAAATATTTATTATAAATTTATGTATTTATCCCAGGGGATTAAATATTGTCAAAATAGCTACTGTATGAATGTCTGTCCTATGTCCGGCTGGTAGATAAGTACTTGATCTACAAGGGGATTCATAACCACTTCCGCTCCCATGATCCTCTGTTCTGTTCCTGAGGGACTATCTGATGGCTTCCTCTGGAAAATAACAATTTGATTGGTAGCACCATGTGATACAGTGGATATGGTTGCCCCTAACAACAACTGAGTGGATTGTTCCCATGTAACCTATTTATTTTACAATAAACCTCTGTGCACAGAGTGAACTGAAGCGCCATTTTGTTTTCCAATCTGTGCACGTGGGTGTATTCCATCCCTTGCCTAACCTGGTGGAATCAGGATACTCTAAGCCTTTAACAGACATACAGGTTAATCCTGTGTTGTTATCAACAAAACGCAAAATTAACGAAACTAGTAGATATAAGGCTTTGATTAACCTATTCCAATATATACCTGCTTGTCATGTAAAGAACGCTGACCTCCAAACGAGAGATGGAATGGTTATGAAATCCGCCTGAGAATCACAAAAGATTAATTAAGTTCAATTCATGGCCTTTGCGACCATCTTTTCTTGAAACCACATATTGTTTATGAGCTAGCAATGATGCCTTCGACTTAAAGTTATTGTTTTGTGGCACTTTTCGTGCTACTTTTCGGTAAAACCCTATTGGTATAATTTTGAATACATTCACATCAAGTCGACTCAAATCTTTCATCTAGTATGGTTTGAAAAATATGAAATCTTGCGCACATTTCAACTTTTAAGTTTCAAAGGTCAAAAATGATTTAACGATTTTTAATTTTAAAGCTTTTCTTAAAAGCAAAATCCTTTTCCAATCATTCCGTGATCAAGCTATACATTTTATTATTGTTTTCCGGTACAGACACTCCTGATAAGAAGAATATTTCGTCTAAATACACAATGTTCAATTTTTTTAACTCATAAAATAGTATACTTACTGAAAGATTCCGTCAAATAAGTAAAAAAATGTTCATCGTTTTTACATAGAACATATCATAATTAAGAGTTGTTTGGGTGCAGCATACTTACAAATTCGAAAAATATTAGAAAAATAGGTTCTGTTTGATTTCTGTAAAACTGCTTAAACATCTCAGGAATAACAATCCTAGTTGAAAAAACAACATTATATATTTCAATGGTAATAAAATGTGAAGGGCGAAATTGAAACTGGGCCCCTTTGAATTATTCGGCAAAAATCGATTGATGAAACACAGAACACAATAACTGACTGATGAGATTTCTTCATAGTAAATACAAAGAAGAGAATACCAATGAGTAAACAAAAACATTATCACAACTAAAAACCAGCAGAACTAGGATAAATATCAACAACGGATTTGTTTACATGAAGACCAAAAACGTACAAGGAGAGTAAGACCAGGTGTTCAGGAAGGGTAAGCGACTTCTGCATCATCAACGACACCTGCAATGTAAATTGAGGTCAAATAGTCAAAACAAGTAATGCCACGCACTCACATCGAGAACTCGGGTAGTGACAACAAAAAAAGTAATGCCACCCACTCACATCGAGAACTCGGGTAGTGACAACAAAACAAGTAATGCCACGCACTCACATCGAGAACTCGGGTAGTGACAACAAAACAAGTAAGGCCACGCACTCACATCGAGAACTCGGTAGTGACAACAAAACCAGAAGGCACTGTGATATTATCAAAAACATCGACCGTCATATCACACAAAAATAGCATATTTCCCTGTGAGATTATGATATTGACCAAACTTAACCATGTACTTCATCAACCTGTATTTTTGAAAACCCTGTATTGTAAGTGTTCAGTCAGCAGTCGACATGCATCACGAAAGTCATGATATTCTGAGCAAGCCCGTGGATACCGAATGGTAGGGAAGCGTCTTCTGCTTAATCGACAACACTGGTCATCTAAATCTGTCTAAAGCAATGCTACTTCTTCAAAATGAGAATCTGTGTAATAAAAACAAAAGAACAGCCACACTAATGAGCAAAAAAACCCAAAAAACATCGAACTTCATATTTCAACATGATACCATGTTGGCAACTAGTTTTTATCAACATCTCACGAACTTAATGTTGTAAGTTTGTCAGATCGCGGTCGATATCTATCACAGAAATGGTTATGTTCGGTGCGAGCCATGGAAAATCGTAGGAGGGTTAACACGGTTGTTACTATCAAGAAAGGGAAAGTCCGCGATGGAAGACTCGAAATCACCATGCTTATCGTACAGTTTAGAAGTATGTCGAACCTGTTGGTAAGTAAATATTGAAGTGTCTGGACGATGTAGAACAGTCTTTAGCGTCTTTCAGGATCACAAAAGTATATCACATGTACGACGAGGTAAGATTATTCCTCGATATTTGACAACACATCATCAGTATACCGTAAAGTGAAATTGAACGACTTGACATGGCAAATCATGACACCGAACTCGACAAAGATATTGTTCACCAGAAACTAATCATTTTCCATATTTCATCTTTGCCTTTGTCGTACTGCAAAACAAGTTACAACCATTTATGTAGCCGTTCAAAGATTTTTTAAAGAAAGCTCTTATAAAAGAACAAAGGCGTTTCTTCTGTTTAGTATGAGATACGGTAGTATACAGGTTGGAAATGACAAAATATTCTATAGAAAACAATTGTTTTTGAGAAATGATGCTCAATATTGATCAAAAGATTCTTCAATATCCACATTCCGTAAATTTTACCTTTATAATATACAGTGTCACAATCCGACTGTCACTCTGATTTCATAGCAAATAGCAGTAAGACGTTTTGGCAATAGCTTGGTATTCGAAGAGATTGCAATACATATACATGATACGCTAGTATTTCCTCCTTCGAAAAGAAACTGAAGTTGGAATCAGTAAGTTTCCTTTGGTTATCAAGCATATATTTTTTCCGGCAGACATGTAATAGAGTAATAGTGTAAGGGCAATCCTACCTATACATTTCCCAATTTCAAAGGCGAAATAGTAGCGAATCACGTTTCTGTATTACAATCTTTCCAAAAACCCACTAATGAAAAGGATACTGACCTACCTCGTTCGTATTTGATTCCAAAACTTCGCAAGTATCCTTATAAACCACGTTTTATCGCTGGCGTCTCTATTAAGTCAACCACGCCAATTTCTAAACATCTCACTTCCACTCTCAGTACAATTAAATCAGGGTTACAGTCGTGTTGTGCCACTGTATACACAAGCAACGGAATCAATGGACTGTGTATTTTGAAGAGTTAAAACTATTTTTTATCATTATTGAACATCCTCATTTTAAAGAAATGTTATTTCTGTCCAAAACTTTCGACTTTTCTACACTTGACCATACCTCATACCAAACTAAAGGAACGTCTCCGTTTTCTAATAATGAGAGCTTTCTTTACCAAGAAAGGCGAACGGCGATATAAATATATGAAAATTATTTTGGAGAATAGTTTGCGAATAGCACAACAAAGGTCAACATTTTATATAGTAAGGAGGATATTGAGGGAATGATCGACTTCCTGGTGGAACATATCTTTGTTGAGATTTGTGCAACACTTTATATACTAAGGACGATATTGAGGGAATGATCGACTTCCTGGTGGAACATGTCTTTGTTGAGATCTGTGCAACACTTTATATACTAAGGACGATATTGAGGGAATGATCGACTTCCTGGTGGAACATATCTTGGGTGAGATTTGTGCAACACTTTCAGCAGTCTGTAGGCATTTCTAAAAAACAAACTCTTCTGGCTGATTTCTTGTTTTCATTTGAAGCTGAATTCATTGATGAGTTTATCAGGGTTGACGCTTTGGTATTCTGTTTTGCAGATATGGATCCCTTTGTAAAGGTTCTTTGTCTGTTGGTACAACAACATACACACAGATATGGATCTCTTTGTTAAGGTTCTTTGTCTGTTGGTACAACAACATACACACAGATATGGATCTCTTTGTTAAGGTTCTTTGTCTGTTGGTACAACAACATACACACAGATATGGATCTCTTTGTTAAGGTTCTTTGTCTGTTGGTACAACAACATACACACAGATATGGATCTCTTTGTTAAGGTTCTTTGTCTGTTGGTACAACAACATACACACAGATATGGATCTCTTTGTTAAGGTTCTTTGTCTGTTGGTACAACAACATACACACAGATATGGATCTCTTTGTTAAGGTTCTTTGTCTGTTGGTACAACAACATACACACAGATATGGATCTCTTTGTTAAGGTTCTTTGTCTGTTGGTACAACAACATACACACAGATATGGATCTCTTTGTTAAGGTTCTTTGTCTGTTGGTACAACAACATACACACAGATATGGATCTCTTTGTTAAGGTTCTTTGTCTGTTGGTACAACAACATACACACAGATATGGATCTCTTTGTTAAGGTTCTTTGTCTGTTGGTACAACAACATACACACAGATATGGATCTCTTTGTTAAGGTTCTTTGTCTGTTGGTACAACAACATACACACAGATATGGATCTCTTTGTTAAGGTTCTTTGTCTGTTGGTACAACAACATACACACAGATATGGATCTCTTTGTTAAGGTTCTTTGTCTGTTGGTACAACAACATACACACAGATATGGATCTCTTTGTTAAGGTTCTTTGTCTGTTGGTACAACAACATACACACAGATATGGATCTCTTTGTTAAGGTTCTTTGTCTGTTGGTACAACAACATACACACAGATATGGATCTCTTTGTTAAGGTTCTTTGTCTGTTGGTACAACAACATACACACAGATATGGATCTCTTTGTTAAGGTTCTTTGTCTGTTGGTACAACAACATACACACAGATATGGATCTCTTTGTTAAGGTTCTTTGTCTGTTGGTACAACAACATACACACAGATATGGATCTCTTTGTTAAGGTTCTTTGTCTGTTGGTACAACAACATACACACAGATATGGATCTCTTTGTTAAGGTTCTTTGTCTGTTGGTACAACAACATACACACAGATATGGATCTCTTTGTTAAGGTTCTTTGTCTGTTGGTACAACAACATACACACAGATATGGATCTCTTTGTTAAGGTTCTTTGTCTGTTGGTACAACAACATACACACAGATATGGATCTCTTTGTTAAGGTTCTTTGTCTGTTGGTACAACAACATACACACAGATATGGATCTCTTTGTTAAGGTTCTTTGTCTGTTGGTACAACAACATACACACAGATATGGATCTCTTTGTTAAGGTTCTTTGTCTGTTGGTACAACAACATACACACAGATATGGA